AAATGGTAAAGAGTGAAAGGGATAATTAAAAACATCTTGGAAGGGGGTCAAGAAATTAACAGCCTAATATGAACAAACTTTGATTACAAGTAACAATTATTACAGTTCATTTGGAAATGCTTGTGTTTATCTGCAAACAAAATCAGTTTCGAGGCGCTTTTTTTTTTTTTTTAAGCTAGATTCATGTTACGCTTTTCATCGGGTGGCTATGGGGCTCGTTAGCACTCGAGGTAATTTTTACGTGCGCTGCTGGAGGAGCCTCGACTCTCCCACACCTGGTGTTGGGTGCCGCAAGCCCAGCCTTGCCCGCGGTGGGAGCCTGCGTTGCCCGCGGGTCACAGCCACGCCAGCGGCTCCTGCTAATTAAAGTTAGTCATTGCCACTTGCAGCCACCACCTACTGATTGCACCTCCGATAGCCGGAAAGATTCACCTTTCAGGACAAGGTCAGAAGGGGCAGAGGCTCTGGTTCACTACAGGGTCGACCTGCCAACAGCACTTAACTCAGCCCTGCAGTTCAACCTTTTCCAGATTTGACCTGTTACATTTGGGAACCACATTTCTGCCCCAGGTAGCATTGCACTCGCTGCGTGGCCCTCTGACAGCTAACGGCGGCCCGCACCCCGCTGCAATGCCCCAGCAAAGCCGTGCAAGGGGGATTGGCCAGGGCGAGGTCTTCTGTAGCCTGGCATTGAAGCACGATGATGAGAGAAATATCTCATTCAGGGGAACTCCCCAGAGCCTTTCCGAAAGGACTCTGCCTTCACATTTCTGCCCTTGCAGGTCAAACTGCTGCTGGCTCTTCACACAGATCACACCACGCCACCAGGCCCAGGATGCACTGGAGGGACAAGGTGGATGGTTTCCCCCACTGCTTCCAACATGTGACAGTGAGGAGCAGAGGTGAAGCTGAAAGGACCTTACAACCACATTGCAGTGGAGCAAGGAGCTGGGCCAGCTCTGTTCTCAGCTCAAAAGCAACAGGACTCACTTCATTTTACGTGGGAGAGAAATACCCCGTGTCTCAACGAAGCAGGTGGTACTCAAAAACCACCTGAAAAGGTGCGTTCAGAGCCCAGGCTTAGCCCCCAGGTACCACACCCTGGATGGACCCACAGAGCTGCTGTCCTGGCACTTTCCCTGGCAGAGGTAGGGCTGCAGGAGGTGACACGGTCAGTCTGGCCAGCCAGCCACCATGGGGCCTGTGTCACCTTGCAAATGCCCCATCTGCAATGCGAACAGCATCATCAGGAACAGGGGACTTTCCACCACAAATCAGACATATTCAGCAATATCTGTTTCCCAAATGTTTATTCCCCAAAGCCCCCTCCCCTCCTTCAGTCTGATCCCTTAGTCAGGCTGAAGCTGGGTTGTGCATCCTGCGAGGACCCCAGAGATGGGCTTCATGACAGAACCCGAGCAGCCGCACAGTGCTCAGGCACAACACACTCAGCTACTACTACTGGGTGAATGAGACATGTACTTTTTGTGCTGGCTCTAATGGGAAGTGCAGGAATGAGATTAAATATTTACACTAAAATCCACTTTACACCCTATTATTGTAGCTACAGCTGATGCCGTGGATTGGGCAGCCCTGGCTTGTGTTTTGCTGCAGAGTACACTTCATCTTCCCTCTTTTTACATCTAAAAAGCTACAGTGTGCAGCATTTTCATCCTGTCTCTCTTCATCATACCCACAGGAGATAATTCTGGGACAGAAAATCTTGGGGAGCCTTAGCTGTGAGGCTGGGAGTTTCAGTTCCCATCCCCAGTGGCTGGGGACCTGTGTGGGGCAGAGGTTGGCTGAGCTTCCATGGGGGAACCCCTGCCAGCAGCCTCAAGGGGTTTTGCTCCTGGGCTGGGGCTGAGGCTCATCCCCATGCTCAGTAGCAGGACTCTGCAGGACCCTCCCCGCTGGCTTGCACACCAAGGGGGGGGGGGAAAGACCTTTGGGGTTTTGCTCTGCAGTGACCCAGTGCCATACCCCGCCTGGGGCAGCAGAGATCTGCTCCCGGCAGCCATGGAGGGGCATCGATGCCAGGGTTGTGGGGGCCGCATGCCCCCAGGTCAGGCTTTGCTGCTGTGGCTGTGTTGCAAGGGGCGGAAGTAGAGCTGTAGCCCATCGTCGATGGGGTGCACAATGGGCACAGTCTGCATGGCAGGGTAGCTGGGGGTAGCCAGCTCCCAGCGGGCCATGCTGACCAGCTCGATGGCCAGCAGCTTCAGAATGGCCTGCGCCAGCTCCTTGCCAATGCAGCTCCGTGCCCCGCCGCCGCAAGGGATGTAGTGGAAGCGACCCACAGCCTCTGTCCGGGCGGCAATGAAGCGGTCGGGGTCGAAGCCGCTGGGGGGGGTCTGGTAGACGGCAGCTGTCTCATGTGTGTCACGGATGCTGTACATGACGCTCCAGCCTTTGGGGATCTGGTAGCCCTGGGGGGAGAAGAGAGGAGGAGAGGAGTGTTACATACCTGTGCAGCTGGCGCTGCTAGTGGAGGGCGAGCAGAGGGTGCCTGGGGACAGCCCCACCATGTTGCCCATCTGCTCCACAGCTGCTTCTCTCCCCAGACCAGCTGGGATCCGCAGTGGTTGCTGGATGCCACCTTCCCATAAGCTACACTGCCAAGCACCACTGCTGTGCCAGACAGGGTACTTGCAGGCAGTGGCAGGCAGCAGCTCCCCAGCAGCCCACGGGTATGTGAGACACTTACATCCAGCTCGAAAGTCTGCAGTGCCGTCCTGTAGCCTCCGGACACAGGGGGCAGCACTCGCAGCACCTCCTTAATCACACAGTCCAGGTAGCGCAGCCGGCTCAGCTTCTCCAGGCTGATGTCCAAGGGACAGTGACAGCTCTGCCCTGACAGTGCCCGGAGCTGGGGGCCAACGCAGACACTGCTCTGGGGGAGGGTGGCCTCCAGCGGGGCAGGGGGCTGGGGGAAACCTTCCTCTGTTGGGCCCAGGGGCTGGCCCTGGTCCTTGCGAGCATCTTTGGCTGTTGGGCTGAGAAATGGCTTCTCGCTGTCCCGGCTCTGGGTGGCCGGGGTGTCTGGACAGGGTCCGGCAGGGCAGCACTCCCACTGCTGGTACAGCTCGTGGGACATCAGCTCCTGCCTTATTTTTTCAATCACCGCGGGGTGCTTCAGTAGCAGGAGGATCAGAGAGGTGCTGGCACTAGCCGTGGTGAAAAAAGCAGCAAATATGAGCTCAATCG